GGGTATACCATTAGGCATCTACACTCTTCCTGTCAGAGCACTTGTGCCACAACGTCACACAAAACATGATACTTCACACGTGCACAAATTACACCCCCCTCGCCGAAGCGACAGTCTGAGGCGCAAACAAGCACGGAAGCATGGTGCTGTGTGGCCTGCCATAAGGCGGCTGGATTGTGGCTTCGGGCTCATAGGCTTTCTACTACCGTAAAGCGGAAAATACGGAAGCGGATTAATTCTTTTGGCACGCGGTTTAAAGTCGCGACATGCACTTAGAAAGTGGCGGCGATCCAGCAAGCCTTGAATCGTGGCGTGGATACAATCCGCAAGAAATCGGTGCAGCGTGGGACGAATACATCATCCACTGGAGCTGCTGGCGATTCGGAGTTGTCGCTGAGCGACTACCAGAAGTGCAACATGAGATTTTTCTGAATTTAAGGGAATTCGGCCACCTCTAAGAGGGGCTGGAATTCGGAGTACCGGTAAATGTGGCGGAACCACGAAATGCGAGGCAGGTAGCTTAGTACCATCCTCCGGAACCGGATGACCTACCATAGGGATGGGATCCCCGCTGATAGTCGCGACCCCAGCCCTGCTGCTGACACTGTTGCTGTTGGGCCCGGCGTGCGTCGGCTTTTGCCTGAGCTTCACGGGACCTTTCAGCATTGCGCAGGCGCTCCTCCCAGGCAGGCAGTTTCGGCGCCGAAGCGCCCTCCGACCTCTACGGCGATGACAACGAGACGTGCCCGGTGCGCTCTGGCCGGGGCACGGAGACCCGACTAAAACCGTGCAATTTGTGTGAATCACCAAGCAGACGCGGTGGTTTCATTAGGGGGGACAAGTAGTAGACAAGTAGTATTTGGACATCGCTACAATCAGCATGTAGACGCCCGAATTCAGCGAGGCAGTGCAAGGCAGCGCAAGTCTTAGCTCTAGTTGGGGATGCCTGGGTCCGAACATGCACTTTTGAGGCCGATTTCAACTCCAAAACCTGCCAATCCCCGTGCGACGCCGTGCATCCTAAGTCGACACATCTCTGCTGTACTTCGGAATCCCGATGTGCTTGCCGCGGTTAGATCGCTTCCAGCAAAATGTTCTTGCGAGCTTGTATACGCGCAAGCTCCATGTGCATGCCCGCGCGAAACGACTTTACACAAGGTGAAACGACGTGACCCGACTTCCATGTAGCAGCCTAACCACCCGGAGGAGATACGGGGACCAAAAAAAAAGGTGACCGGCATCATTTTGGTGAAAAGGACATTTTGTTGACGACTGCCATTTGGAGGCTATCTGAAGAACCGTAGGTTTTTTTGCAGAAAACTCTTATTCTGATATCTTTGCAATGCAAACCTCGAGACAGATGTCGTTTTCAGGTTGTTCAGACCCAAAGATCCTCCAGACAGATCTCGTAATAAGTGAAACTTCAGTTCTGATAGATACAAAGCACATGCTTGAGCCAGTTTGAACACATCTGCAGATGTGTTGTAACTATCCGCCAAAGCCGCAGGCCCAGGCTTCTTGGGCGTCACCTCAAGTCTCAGGTACCCTCCACCTAATCTTCCTCCCTGCAATCCGAAGGTTCCACCCGTTTTTTGTGTTAATTGCCCCCACCCCCCCGCCCGGGTTCCCTCTTTTTCTTACTAAATACCTTCCTGCTGTTCACACGGTCCCTGTGCTCGTCGCCCGAAACCAGGGCCAAACTACGGAATTGCAGAATGGCATGTCAGGGCATGTGGTTGGTGAAAGGAGGTGGAACCGATGGCTCGGCGAGGAAGTAACTGAGGAGAGGAGGATGTCCATCGACATTGGCTGCACCGGAAACAGAGTGTGTGGCAGAGCAGGCCATGCTCGGCCAAGCCCTGTGCCCGCGACCGCTTGCTGGACGGCTATGGACACGATGCCGCGCCAGCAACGTGAGCAGCCGGCTGCGGCCGCTGCGCGCAGTGCGCTGGGCACGCGGGCGGATGAGATCCCGGAGGAAGCGGCATGATTGTTCGTTCCACCGACCGCCTATCTCCAGGCCCAATGGCCCGACACGACCAGACACTGTGCCCTGGCGCGAGTTCGGGGCAGGCAGTCCGCGTGCGGCGCTCGGCAACACGCAGCTCAGCGCCATCAACTCTTGCATCGCAGCAGAGCGCGCCGCCGTTCGCTGTGTGGGCGAGCCGCTGTTGAGGCACGACCTGCCCTTCGGCGCCGACTGTTTCCCTGGCCACTAGCAACCTTGCGCGCTCAACCTCTTTGGCGCGCCTTGCTAAGAACCCCGTGGGGTGTGCTGGGCGCTCGCCTTCCCGTATGCCTCGCCGACGGGTAGCGCATCCGCCCACGCAGCCCAGAACGCCGCCAGCGCCGTCCGCACAGCCCGCTGTCGGCCCTGGCCATCTTGCGCGGTCGGGAGAGTGTCGTTTCCATAATTCTGCCCCTATTTTCACGCACACTTTTTTCAGACAGTACGAGCGCGGTCCCATTGCACGTGCAGTCCACGTAGCTCCTGCAGCCGAGGTCCTGCCCGGGAGTCGGCTGGTGGCGGGGGCGTGCTGCCAGCGTTCCGGCAGCAGAGGCGACAGTGTCGAGGGAACTCAAGCAAGGAGCCGGCGAGGGCCCACAAGACACATAGGCCCGATCGAACGGCAGCGTGCGCAAGCGCAGCTGGCGCCCGCGGGAGGAGCCTGAGGAAGGTTGCGCTTGACAGCGAACACATCGAGGTGGCAGTGCGCTAGCCCAGGGTAGATGTCGCGACGCTTGCGCCTCGTTGCTTGCTGAACGGCCGGGCTGACTGTCTGCTCCTGGCCGGTGTCGACAGCAGACTGGGCCCCATTCATTTTACCTGAAAAAACTCCACTTGTCACCTTTGCCCTGGTTTTTTCCCCCTGCCCCCCGCTCCTTGCACCCTGCCCCGCCCTCTGCCATTTTAATTGTTTCTTAAACCACCCCACTTCTGCAGCAGCTCTGTTTTTTCACGTTCTGTCACGGTGCTGGTCGCCCGGAAGCCACATGACACGGCTGTTTGCGGCACCTTACAGGCTTGTTTGGGCGCTACCACGGAGGACGAGTCATGCCATGTCATGCCTCGCTCCCGGCCAGCCAGGCCACGCGCCGCGAGCGGTGCCCGCAGGCCGGCCCCTGCCTCGCTGACGCGCGCGGCCCGGAATATCCCAGAATGCTTCGCATATCTTCGCATGGGTTGTTTAGCATACGTGGCAGCAATTTGCGTTGCATACACAAAACCCCTTCTTCCGCGACCACGTGTTGGCTGCTTCTTTCCTTGCCACCTCCCTACCGCGCGCTTTCGCGTTCCCAAGCCCGTCCACATGCCGCCGCTTGGCTCCAAACCACCCCCATCCCGGAGAGGTCTCTTTCGCCGAAAAAAAGTGTGAACGGCATCTAAATGGAGACTGTCGCTTTTTCTTCATGGCTCGGAATTGGCTCGCCGCAAAAAATGAGCTATTCGCGCTTTTGGCAGGGGGAGCTCAGCTTATGGCGATTTTTCTGATGGGGTTCGGCTCAAACTCGTAAATTCTGGCAAGCTGTAGGTACATTTTGCCAATTTTCTGCGATCGACAGGTATAGTTTGAAGTTTTTATCTTTCGATATATATCGTGAGCTCGTAATATGGCTCAAACCGAAAGCTTGCTGGCATGGGTTCGTGCCCTCTCCTTCGCCTTTTGCAAGGAAACTTAAAGCAAGCACAAGGCAAGTTCATCTCATGATGTTTCGTCCTGCTTGGTTCGGCTCCAGATGCATCATTCTGGCAAGATGTAGGTATATCTTGCTGGTTTGCTGCAATCGACAGATACAGTTTGAAGAGCTTTCTAGCTATATTGCATGTGACTTCACGATCTGGCTCAAACCGAAATCTTGCTGGCATGGATTCATGCTCTGTCTGTCGCCCTGTGAAAGAAAACTTTGGCAGGATAAATAAGCACGTCGTGTGCTTCGAATTTGCTTTTGCAGTATGCATGCGAATTTGTATAGATATGGCTCAAATCGCTTTCGAGAAAAAACCCTAAGCCCTAAGCTGTAGTTTGGCTCAACTGTTGGGAGAAAAACCTGAACCCTAACCCCTATAGATCGCAGAGTCGCAGTGCCCCAATAGGGGTCGCTTCCTCTCTGTGTATATACTATATGTATACATGTACCCATATAAAAATCTCATCTCGGTCACATAAACAACATATACCACTTGAAGCACGGCTGCTGGTGATGAGTGATTGTGGAAACACGCTCGTCCGAGCTGCCACGGAGTGGCTCTGAAGTCGCATGCATGCCGGCAGCAAGCATCTGGGCAGGTCTGACATGTCATTCGGCAGTAGCTATATGAGCATCGATCTTTGCAGCTCTTGAGCTGACCATGGATCCGACGATGGATGAACCGGCTTTTGAAGCTGGTGATTCCAGCACCAGGTGGCCCTGCATGATTACAGTGAATTTGCACTTCTGTGGGCATGCTGGCAGACTGGACGACTGCAAATTAATTGCAGTCCAGATGCTCAAGTCGATCAGACAGGTGTCCACATGCATGATCTAGCTGCAGTCCCTTCCTCGTTGCCCTAGGGCACATATTAAGTAGAGGAGAGTCCTGAGCTCAGGACCAAGGGTTTTTAGAGAAGCTAGGGCATTTGATGCATTACATGGATCCATATATATACGCATTCCAGTAGTGCCTTCTCGAGCTTTGGAGCTATGGAGACAGAGGACTGAAGCTAATGGCAAGATCTTATGTTGTTGGGCATTGGAAATAATGTGCTGCCGGGAGGAAGCTGCAGTGGCTTTATCGCCGGAGGAGGAAGCTGCTTGCTTGCAATATTGGATGTACTTATAGGGATTGTCTGGACCATATGAAAGATGAGCTGTGTGAGGTTGTTATGACGATGGTGCTGGCTTTGAAGCCAATTTTGCGGCCTTTGAGCAGATTGAACCTCAGAGGTAGCAGTTTTTTATTGCTTCAATGACTCGTGCGGGATTATGGCCAAAGCATCACAAAGCTCTGGCCGAATGCTATGCGCTTTGCACATCCAGACTCCGAGCTCAGCACAGATTTTATTATCCACGAAGCTTTCGCTGTGGTAGATGCAATAATGGATTCGCTGAGTCACATGGCATGCAGTTCGGTTACAGGGATTTCTTTTGGTTCACTTTTGCATATATGCTCCCGTGCAGTTGGCTGAGACACGTATGCAGCTAGGTTATGTCGTCGTGGACAAAGTGCCAGCTCCACGGGTGTTTGAGATGGCAGTGACCTGGATGAGATATAAAGTTCTAGATCGCAGAGTTACAGTCTCAGCAACTGAGGTGGAGCAGGCAGCGATGAATCCAGAAACGGGGCTATACAACTTGCCTGAACTTGAGCGAAAAGTGGTCGCCAGCATCCTGAAAAGAAGCCTCGCTCGGGTACGCCGGCTGCTGGCAAAGACTGAGTGGCGAGGCGAAAGTTTTGAGTTCAGGGTTGGGTTTCGTTTGAAAACCAATCTACTATTTCCACATGGCAACCCAGGAGCTCTTTTCATGAAAGAATGGATCGCTTGAAATCCAAGTGCCTTGGCCGAATTGGAACAAGATCAATCAGGTTTCATAGACGTGCATCATATTTCAGGATGATGAAGTGGCCAGCAAAGACTAGGACAGCTGCTTGTGGGTGTGCACAGCCATATCTGTATCTGTGGGGTCCTGCATTTGTAGGAACAAATCGAGAAGAGACCATGAAGAGCCTCTTGGGCTGCATGCAAATTCTTTGCTTTCAGCTTTCATACACATGTGTTTGAAGCTCGAGGCTTGAGCAAAAAATGGAGGAAGTCTTTGGTGATCTGGGTCGATTTACTTCGTCGGAACTCGATGACCTGGAGGAGATCGTGGATTCTCCTGTGGGTGAGTGGTTTGGTTGCAAACTTGCAATATAGTCGTTGTGAAGTGTTGCCTGGGATGTTGCTTTGTCACTTGCTTCAGGCCGTCATCAAGCGCGAAAGCCGAGCCATCAAGCTCGACAGCTGAACCATCAAGGTCGACAGATGAGCCAGCAAGGTCGACAGATGAGCCATTTAGGCCGACAGATGAGCCATCAAGGCCGACAGCTGTGCCATCAAGGTCGAAAGCTGTGCCTACTGCAGCACAGCTAGCACCTAGACGGCAGGCATGTTTGGGTTCATGTGCAGGTGTTATCATGTGTCTTGTTCCTCAATTCTGTCTGAGTTGCCAAGGCTGCTCAGAAGAAGTATCAGGAGGCTCACCGGAGGCTGTTTGGCGAGGTCGCGGTCTTAACATGCCAGCCAAATGCATTTCTATATGCACATATATTATATGCATATAAGCGCATATACAGATTCATGTATATTCAAAATAAACAGGAGCCCATCGAACTGGACGACTCTTCAGGGGAAGAACAGGAGGCGACTTTTGCAATGGTGTGTGCAGACCGGGCCTTCGTCCACCCATCTGCAGAGCCTGCAGAGCCTTTTCAGATTTATTGCTTGAGTATATGTGGTTCCTGCGGTATTCTGACCTATGTACTTCGATCTGAAGCTAAGGCAAAGGAGAAGGCTAAGAAAGTGATGAAGCCAAGGACGAAGATGAAACCCCGGGCAAGGGTGAAGCCGACGGCGGCCCCAAAAAAGATAAAGCCGACGCAGTCGCCAAAAAAGGCAGCGACTCCAGCTGCTGTGGATCCGACCGAGGTTGAGGCAGCTGCGAATCCGAGGGATGCTGGGGATGAAGCTGCGGTTCCTATGGCTGGGGATCGCAAGAGTTTCGCTGGCCGTTATGTTCCGGGTGGGCCCCCTCACTCCTGGAGATTTGAAGCTGCCATCGAAGCCTTTGATATGCACCTGTTGTCAGCACTGAGATGGTATTCCGAATTAATGTGGTATTGTGTGTGTGTGTGCGGGTTTTGGCTGGGGTAGATGCTGTGTCTACTTTCTTGCTGCATATAGCTGAGGCATGTGGCTGAGGAACTGCGCAACAAGGGCCTTGCTACCGGCAGCAATGCGCAAAGGGCCTTCATGTCCTACTTAAGTGCCGAAGGATTCCTCGATCTGACAGCAAAAGATGACATCGATATGGCTGCACACGAGCTGGCAGTTGCATATGCCACGCAGAAGGCCTGCTTGAGCCGTGGTTGAGCCAAACTTGAAAAGTTAGGGTTTAGGGTTGAGGGCTTGTGCTTCAGGATTGTCCCTAGTCTTCAGATATGTTGCTGAGGCTTAGAATTGAGTCCTTAATTGGTTTCGCTTTGAACCCTTGAGCCTTAAACCCCTAGTGTATATTTGCTTGATGTAGAAAATAACGGGCTTCGTGCCTTGCAAGAGCACGGGCTGCCTTAGGCTTAGTGGGTTCAGGGTTTAAGGAAATGTCCCAGGCCTGGGATGTGAATCCCCAGATATGAGACTATATCTTGTTCGGGATTGTTGTTCTATGGGGCTTAACCATAGATTGTGGGGTTTTAGGGTTGGGTAGTAGGATAGCTGGGTTATCTGGGTGAGCCAATCACTTTTCGATCTTCGATCACCTGCTAGCTCAAAGCTTACTAAGTCTAGATCATCGCCGTCGATCTGTGCAGGTCAAATGATTCCGCAAACGCCACAGATTCTTCCATTATGGAGCAGAGACTCGTCGGCAATGGTTTTGGCTGCTGACCAGGCACAGATCGGGATTGGTGTGTCGTTGTGCAATCTTAGGCCTGTCGGATGAGATCACACCAGACTCTGCAATCTGAAGCTTGGGCAAAGCGTGTGAGACCAAAAGCTTCTTCTGATGTGCGAAGTTGTGCCGGCTTAAGCTACTTTTGCAATATGGTCTTTGGTTGACAGGGTAGTGAATACTGCAATGGCCAGGTGAGAAGTCTTCGTCGAGCTCTTCACGGAAGCGATCGCACGCCGCCTGCGAGGGCAAGGAGTGCAATGCAACAGGTCCGCCCCCCTCCCTGCAGAAGTGCATGCAGTGCTGTGACATCGATCGGGGTCAAAGGCCGATTGAAGCTTGAGGGATCAGCACTGTGTCTTTTGTGTATGTAGCTTCTTCGACCGATCGAAGGTCTAGTCACCCTAGGAGAACTAGGCATGTGAGGGCCGATCCATGCGACTCGATGTGCAGCTCATGCTTCACAATATGTTGTGACTGTGACAGTCAGGGTGTGTGTGCATGTGCGGGGTGTGTGAGTTTTGGTCTGTGTCCGCATGGCAATGGCGAGCTGCTCCTGGCTGCTGTTCCTGAGTCTGCGCTTTGGTCTGATATTAGACCATTGAAGCCTGATATGGCAGTATCTCATTGGGTGTCTTGACTAAGGTGCCCTACGGCAATGGCTTATAAAGCCCTGGTGGAATCTATGCTGCAAGCGAGTGTTCCGAAGATGCTCATCCTAGTTTGCCTCCTACTGCTGCTTGTCCAGAAATCATTCTATTTTGCTGGCTCCCACTGGATCTGCTATGCTTTCGTAGCTCTCCTACTTAGGCTGTGGAACTCCGAAGTACCAATTTCGGCACGATATGATTGTGTCGATCTCTTTTCGGGTGCTGGTGCTGTGACTGCCAGAGCCTTAAGCAGAGCCACTACTAGACCCCCAGCTCCATCCAACAAGTTCCGAAATACACCGATCGAGGCTGGCCTCACAGGCCGCGGGTATCGTGTGGCCTCACATGACCTGGAATTGAATCCATCTATGAACATTTTTCATGCAGCAGGCTTTGCGTGACTCGGCTCTAATAGACGGCTTGGACCAAGACCAACTGTTCAATCAAGATCCTGCAACCCTAGGCTCATGATCCATTCGATCCTGTGCTTGGATCCGAAAGGTGCCAGGCCACTGAAGTGCTGAATTTTACAATACTATCATATTCCGGGGCCCTTGCACGAAGGTTCATCATGGCTTCGCCTGTGTGCAGCAGCTGGGTATGGATCAATCGAGCAGTCAATAAACGGAGTGGGGAGCCTAATTGCTGCATATATCACTAGTGCATCTAGCTCGACTGAGAAACCTTCGATCTCTCCAGGTTTGACGTGCCCCCTTGGAGATGTCAGCAACATCAACATCACCCAGGCCAACAAAATGGTTTCAAGGACCTCGGGCATGTGCTGAATTTTGGGTTCTTTGGATCTGCGCCTTGTAAGCTAACAGGACAATGATGTGTCTGATGTTGGGGCTGTGGATGGGCGGCAACTACATCTTGGAGCAGCCAGCTTCGAGTATGATGAGCTCACACCCCAGGTGGGTTCAGATAGTCCGGCTGTGTGGCCAATGTTCGATCAACACTTATCTTGGAGCCTGGAAGCACTGGACTGCAAAGCTGACATCGTTCTACTCCAACAAGTCACTAGACTGCAGTAAACTAAAACTACAAAAGATATCATGAGTGGTAACTCCGAGACCTCTATTCATATGCAAATTATCATGTTAACCCGCGTCTGCTTCCGTGCCGCACTCAAGCGCATATTTGCGCCAGATGCTGCTATGCAGCAAAGACTCCCGGGCGGGTCGGGAGGGTCGAGAAAAGCTGCAGTACACGAGTGAACATGTTGTTCATGTTAACCCGCGTCTGCTTCCGTGCCGCACCGTATTTTCCATCCGCTTCGGCAAGAGTGGATTCTCAAGCGCATATTTGCGCCAGATGCTGCTATGCAGCAAAGACTCCATCCGCCTCAACCGGCCAACAGCTAAAGACAGCCCACAGGGCGTAGCAGCTAGTGCGCTGGGGAACCACGGAGAAGGTACGGAAGCATTGCAGATGTAGCGACGATATTTCTTCTGGCGTCGACCGAAAGCTTCGGAAGCACAGACTCGGCAGAGACCTCTTGCAAGTAATAAGCAAGTGTGCTCTGATTCTGCAGTCTCATCGTCCACTGAATATCGGCGATGGGCTGTTTCCGGCGGTAGGCTGCCACAGCACCACCACCGCGCAAGCAGCCCGGCGTGAGCTTGAATTTGGCCGGAATGTCCAGAGCAGCTAAGACACTGTCCCAACGGCGCCGATAAACTCCAGCACTTCCCGGAAAGAGGAGCTCCCGCGGAGGGAGCGCTCCAAGGACCCTCCTGACGAAGACGGCGAAGTGCTCCTCGAGGTCAATAGCGACGTGCTGGACTCGAGCTCCTCGCCCTCGCGTTTTCGGCTCCCTGAAAACGAGATAGAACCGTAAGTCGTTCTGCAGGAGGTCCCAAGGAGTCAGCAAGTCCCTCCTAGTCGCACCTAAAACCTCCCCGATGCGACAGCAGCCCAGAAAACATAAAAACGTTACGGCGGCCCATCGGAGCCAGCCCCAAGAGACACTCAGTCCGATCATAGCCCAAAGAATCGGTTCTGGCATAGGTGTCCTGTGGACTGTTGGCTCCAGGCGCTCCCACTTCGTAAGTAAGTCCCAGGCCGGCTTCAGTCCGGCCCGGATTCGAGGCACCACATGTGGACAGTGCGCAAGCAGCTGACGGAACTCCTGAAGTGAAGCCCCGCGATCGTAGAGGACCTGACCGTAGCTCAGAAGGGCCTCAACGAGGAGGTCGGGGTGGAGAAGCAAAGTTTCCCACACATCATTCCCCGCTTCACTAGAAGCCCAGGCCTTGAAAGCGGTCCAAATTCCAGATCGCAAAACAGCGGTCGCTTTTGTCACAGTAGCGACCTCTCGAAGCTGGAGAGCCTCGCGTCGTCGGGCTGCCCTTCGGGGCCCGGGTTGAGAGGCTTCGCCAATTCTGGCATTGCTGCACTTAGCACATCGAGAGATGTCGAGAGGCCTGAAATCTCCAAGTCTCCAAGCCACCCAGCATCCTGGGCGCATGCCGTCGCCAGGAGAAGGCAGAGTCGTTTAGGGTAGGCCTCGGCGAGCTTGGTCCAGCTGACTCCGGAAGAGCGGTCTCTTCCCCGTAAGACTTGATGTCGATGATCCTTAGAGCAGCGGAGGCGAGCGCCGCCGAGCTGACAATTAGTCCGAAAACGGGTCGCCTTCCTCCAGAGCGTACCGAAGACGCACATATCACAAAGAAAATCATCCCAGCGAACTGTCTCCTTCAGGATGTCCCAAGCCCGCTGCCTCCAGAACCAGCTATTTTGCGGGTTCTCGACCCAAAAAAGAATGCCGACTTCTTCAGCAGCTTGCAGGACTTCCAATGTAAACTCCAGCATCATGTTCCCGGCAAGAACTTTATCCTGCTGATCGCTCCGTAAGTCCGGACGGCCTTGTGGAAACTCCTTGGTACGCCAGGATGGTGTGATCGCCCCGGAGAACGAGCTGCAAACCGGCCCAGCGCTAACGCCGTGAAAGGCTCGGCCCCGAATGAGCCGCAGGAGCTCTTCTTGCAGGTCAGTGCGCAGGAGGTCTTCGTCCAGGCCATGGCTCACATCTACGCACAACACCCAGCAAGGAGCAGCGGCAGCAAGAGCCTTAGCAAAGCCCCGAGACCCAGAGAAAAGATCCAGCCACCCAGGAGCCGAGGAGAGGGCTGAAGAAAGGTCGCCAAAGGCCGAGGAGATGACGAAGCGCCCAGGAGGCATCGCAAGAAGAGACCGTCGGAGCTCCGGAGTAAGCTCAAATCCAAGGGAGCTAGGAGGCCGAGACTTAGGAGCATGGGAAGCAGCAAAAGGCCCTATATCGGCGCCTACAAAGCTAGGCGGGTCGACCTTCGTCGGACCACTGACGCGCAGCAAACCCTCAGGTGCTCGAATAGCGGGCAGAGGTTTGGGCACGCCGGCAGCGCTCGGGAAGAAAGGGGGAGGAGCATTAGGCTCAGGAGGCAAAACGAAACCCAAGTCGAGGGCTTCGGCACGCTGGGCATCAGAAAGCTTCTCACAACCCCTAACCGTGAACCCAATGAGGACGACCCTAGTACCCGTCCAAGGCTGCGTGGCATGAAGGCGTCGAGGATCGAAGCTGACAGCTCGCTCGTTGACTGGGAGGACCTCGCCGAAGTGATCCTTGCCTCTGTGTCGAAGACGCTCGGAGCCGCTTTCAGCTAAGACCCATATACGTCCAGACCGAAACCGAGAAAGGGGAACAACAAGGTTAGGCTCACCCGAAAGATTATTCTTATCAATGTGTGGAAGGGTCCGCACATTCTGATTGACACTGAGGGAGCTGAAAACGAAGCCAGGCTGGGCCTCACGAATCAGCCGAGCGAAAACCTGAATGCAGTTCGGGAACAACCCTGTCGTACGGCGGAGCCCGACAACCCCTCCGTGCACAAAGACCCCTGCTGAGAACGAGGCTTCGGTTCTGCTCCACTTGGTGGACCTGGCAGAGAGCTCCTTCGGCAGGCGACGGAAGATCTCGAGAGCTTCTCCAGCCCCGATGTGGGTCCTCTGAAGGATGCTGGCAGCCCTCTGCTCGGGCCCTAGTACCGCACGCATCCGCGCGTTGGCGGGGGCTGGGACCTCACCAATTGGCGCGTCGGCCCACAGCTCACTCTCGGGCGGCAGACCTGCAAGCTGCGAGGGGTGGAGCTCATACTCCCACAAGAAAGTGTCGAGGAGATCGAAGTTCCCCTCAAGCGCAGCTTGAAGCCAGGCCGTAGGGAGCTTACTCGGGCACCTAAGCGGGGCTGAGCGGGTAGGGTCGTCGCTAGGGTTCAACTTGGATTGGATGTATCCATACGAGGGCCTCACCCGGTTGGCTAAGTGCCCGGGAATCGATCTCCGAAGTTCCCTGTTGAGGGCGGAGGATGCAGCCCTCCCTTTCACGAAAGACCCCAGGCTGACCTGGCTGTCCTGCAGGTGGACATATCTTCGCCCTGGGAAATCCTGACCGACTCGTTCCTCTCCCCGGATTGCGGCCCTCACTTCCCCGATGTTTATGTGCCGCCGTGCTTTAACTTTCACAGTTCGGCCGAGCTGCTGGAACTGCAATGACGAGCAGAGTTCCTCCCAGAGGGGGTGAGAGACGTACACCGTTTCGGGAAGCTCCTGCGATTCTGGCAGCTCTCCCCGCTCATTAAGGTAAGCCTGCGCAGGAGAAAGGAGCCGGGCCCAAAGGCCCCGTTGCAAACCATGCCGAGTGATCTCAAGGGAGAAACCCTCGGGCACTAGAGCCGCCGCACCGGCTTCTGCCGTAGAGGATGCATCAGTGGTCAGGAGCACTGGCGCAGCAGGCGCCCTCAAGTCGACATCGACCTGACAAAGCAACACGGCGCTGACAAGCAGCTCCGAGCACAGCTCCCCCACAACGAGCACAAAGGCGCGCCGGTCCCGGTGACGCTGCACGCTGTGGACCGAATCGAGAAGGCTGAGGAGGCGGCGCCGCAACTGAAGGGCTGAGATCAGGCCGCCCGCGACAACTTCCAACATCCCGACTGAAGTGACGCCTCCTCGGACAAGCTGGAGAATGAACTGAGCGAGGGCTGAAGTGCGCTTCGGCGCTGGGCGGAGAAGCCCGCTGCGACCATCTAACCGCCCGCCCCAAAACTCGGCAATCGCTGCTCGAGACACGGCCTTGCTTTCATTGCGAGGAAGCCCGCTGGCGCCATAGGACTCGGTGACAGCTCGCATGGTCCGTACGCCTGCAGGCTCGAAGCTAGGGCTCGGGAGCTGTCGCGGGACCGGGTCAAGCAAAATGAAATCATCTATCAGGAGGCCAGCAATTTGGCTGCCGGGTCTTCCCGGGCGACCCTGAAGCGTGATGAAATCTTTGAGCCTAAGAACCCCACTCCTAAGGAGAACCGAAAGGTGAGCAGTTTGACCAAGAGCTACAGCGTTAAGGTCTCCCATAGCCATAGTATTCAGGCTCGGTACAATCCGGCAGCCGCGGAGCGACTTGGAGCACGCCCTGAGATGAGACACATCTTCGAAGGTCAGCTCGAGAGCAAGGGCATTCCGTTTTGCCCGCTGCTCTCCCACTATGAAGCTGTGATAAAATTCTTTCAAATCTTCCGTGTGAATCTCAAACATTGACTCATCAGGGAGGTAAATGAATTGGAATTGCTCAAGGGTCCCCAAGGATCGAATCCAACGGGTTTCAGTCTCCTCAGCTTGATTGGGGGGCCTCGCATCTAACACCATGCGATCCCGCGAGCTGTCCTTAGCAACACTGAACAAACCGTTGCGAAGCCTGGGCCGAATTTCGGATTCGGCAAAGAGACGGAGGCGCCCGCTGTCGTCCAGCAATTGGAGAAGCTCCGAGGTCTGTCGCCTGTCCGCTCTCACGGCCACGGCCTCGTCTTCAGGGGATGTCCCTGGCAAAGTCAAGAGGGCGGGCATAGGTAGCTCGATTCCGCGAATCCAAGAAAGGTAGCGGGTCAAAGCTGGGAGTGCCAACGAAGTTTAGCCTTGCAGGCTCGACCGGAAGCACATTGCACGGCGCTGCAAAGCTGAAAAGCACCTCAGACAAAGGGATACCGGAGGCCCGAACCGTCTCGGCCTCAGCTTGGCAAGCCAGCAGCATGTCATTCAGAGCCTCAAACTTTGCAGCCGCCCGCCCGAGATCGGAGGGAGCATAAGGCCCTCCTGCGTTCCAGGCTGACACTCCGATGCGAAGAGAGTCGACAGCCCTCTGCTGGGTGCTCGTGAGCTGTTCTCCCAGCCCGAGACGAAGATGGCGGCCTGCCACGGCCGGCTCGCCAAGAAAAAGGAAATTCAAGACCAGCACCACTGCGTTGACTCCGAGCTGCTCAGGATCCCTTCTGCCGCCGGATCGCGGAGCATGAAGCTCGGGGTAAGGAAGAGGCATGGGCCACACGCCATGCCGCCGAGAAGCACCTGAGGCGCAAGAAGGCCCTCGCTCAGCGCGAGGTAGAAGACGGATGGAATGAAAGAAAGAAGAAAGCTTGCAGGATGACTTGCTCATGCAGTCGAAGAAAGAATCCCAAAGGTCCGAAGGAATGACACCTGGCGCCCTGGCCCCGGGGCCAGAGGGAGGCGCTGCACTCTCCGGCACAGGATCCAAAGAAGGGGCGGAAGCAGGAGCTCCGGAAAAAGAGTGCCGAGAGGGCACGGGACCATCAGGGTCCGTCGTTGTGCAACATCCATCGGGCTCAACGCTCCTATCGCAGCCTTCATAATTTGGCGCAGTTTCGGAGCAGGAGTCGTGGCTACCACCACGGCCCGGCGAAGAAGAAGCATGCAAAGGCTCAAAGGATTGAGGCGAGGAGGGCGGCTTGCACACTGCAGCCTACTGTACTTGAAAAAGAACCAAAGGTATTGAGGGGAGGGCCTAAACCAGACTTACCACCCCTAGGGGAACGAGGCTCAACCTCACACGGAGAGGGAGCTGCAAAAGGTCGGCCAAAGGGCAAGCAGGTGAGCGTCGGCGCCCAAGCTGCGCCACGAATTGACCGGAGCTGCTGTACGGAAGAGTCGTAGTGTCGAAGACGTGGTTTCCAGAACGAAGGGCCCGGAGGCAGAAGATCTAGGAGCTTCGGCAGCTCCCCATGCGAGGTCCCACATTCGGAAGCCAAGCCCAAAGATGGTTTCCAGATCACTTCGCAGCCTCCTTCTCCTTGCCCTTCCCGCCTCTGCCGCCGCCCTTCGGCGGCTTCTTGGGAGGAACTTCTGGTGGCACGGAGTCTCCAGTAGATGGCGGCGGAGCCCCTCCTCCCCCGCCTCCAAGGTTGCGTTTGGCTGTGTGGTAGGCGTCGCGTTCGCGAATGCGACTCATGTAGAGCGAAATCCACCTCGGGTCGATCACACGACTCTGTCTCGACTCGAGAGGGTCGAGCTGGCGGGGCCGCTGAAAGCTTGAGAACGGCGGCTGAATGTCCATCGAGAACTCGCTGGCAAGAAGCCAGCTTCCATTGTCTATCGCTGCTTGGTCTAAAGCAGCGACTGCTAACAGCGCAACTGCTTTCGCTTGTTCGCTGTTCCCGCTGTTCAAGAGGTCGATGATCGAAGCAAGGGTCCAAGCCTGCCGGATAGGTCCGGCGTACGGTTGCAAGTGGCTTCTGTGCTCGACCCATCCCCGAACCGACAGCCGCCTCTCCTCCTGATGCGGCCCCGTCTGGGCTCCCACAAAGTCGTCCATCATCAGACCCTCTATGGAGGCCGAAATCTGCTCGGGGGCCGAGCGAAGGATGCCACACAGCTTCTGATAGGCTGCGGTCTTCGAGCGACCGCTTGACCCACTGGCTCCCATCGAGTCTGGGGCCCCACCTTCCGCTCTTTCCAGAATGTCCTCGAGGTCGTTCTTCTTCTCCCTGTCTTTCTGCATCAGCTTGAGGACTTGCCCGATTTGGACAACCGCCGTGTGGACGGGGTCTCGCCCCCCCCCCCAGATTTGCCGATCCTCCTGCGGGCAGCAGCTGGAGCAGCAGAGCTTTTCAAAGCCAGGCGAGACATCCGCACCAGCTGGTCCTCTGGAACCCCTGCCTTTCTGGCGGCCTCCAAGACCACAGGCTCGAGCCCAGCAAGAAGAGGCAGCCCAGCGGCCTTCGGCGCCGGAGGAGAAGGGAGAGGTCCTACGCCTGCCCCTGGAAGATTCTCGGCGGAAGCACTCAAGGGAACCCCGTCCACCAGGGCTTCCAAGCTGGCCTGGATGCGCTGAACTCCAGCCTCCAAACTCGTCAAACGCTGCTTTCAGGATTCCTCCCCATCGCGAAGGCCGCCATCGCCCCCCATACCAACATCCTCGGCCGGAGTCTGGAAGGCGTAGTGCTCGGATGCGGCGACAACTCGCCTTCCACAGCGAAGTCCACCATGCCCTCGAGAGCGGGGTCCAACATCCCCAGCCAAACCTTCAGCTTCACGCCATGTCGCATGGCGGACGGATCGTCCGCCGCCGCTGCCAGGACCTCTGCTAGCACAGTTCTGCTGAGCGCTGTGCGGGGCAAGTACCTTCGCCCAGCCGTGCGATGCCATGCCGTCTGGGGAACCGCCACCAAAAAGCTGCCTTCAAACTGGGCAATCACAACGATGGAGCAGGACAGGGTCGGCCCTGCCTCCTGGTCAATCCTGAGCTCGCCGATCTGAGGCGAAGAGCCCTCCAATGAATGTTCGAGGAGCCTCCGAGGGAAGAGCGCTCCTCCGCCTCCTCGTCGCCTTCAGACCCTGCTTGGCTGGCCATCCAAGCCAGCTGCAGGCCAACTCAAGCCAGCCTCCCGGAGGGCGACCGCACACTCTGCCTGACTGGGCAGGCCCACAAAGATGGACTGCCCTTTGTCCGGGCCACGAATGCAAAGGGCTTTCGCCTGCGCAAAAGCAGAGAAGACACAAGGCTCAGAGAAGCGCCGACCCTCAAAGTCGGCAAGGACAATGTAGTACTTGGAGGATAGGGTAAGGGCACTCCTGCCCGATGTGCGCAAATGCCCTCCGTCCAGGGCTCTGCGGAGGAACTGGCCAACCTCCTTAGCAACGGCCGTCCGAAAGGAAGAGTTCGGCGGCCCAGGGTTCGACCGCGAGGAGCGATCCGGGAAGACCTCGGAAGCGAGGTCGTAGGCCAGGGAGAGATCCACTCCACCTGATCCTGGCCGATCGGATGGAGAGAAAGCCCGGGAGAGATTGCCTCCTCCTGAACCGGGCAGGCGGGAAGGCGATGGAGCCTGGGAGAGATTAACTCCTCCTGAACCAGGCTGAGGAGACACGGGAGGACCCCGGGAGAGCGAACCTCCACCTGATCCGGGGGAGGGAGAAGAGGGCCCCGCAGCGGGCCCGGGCAAGGGATCCACCAGCTCAAAAGCTGCTTCTTCCTCAAGCGCCTGGATGCGGCTCTCGAGGCGGTTCAAAAGTCCTCGCACCTCAAAGAGATCTCGCCTCAGAGATTGAAGCTCCAGGAGCCTCCCACTCATTCAAGGACCCTGTAGAGCTCAGTGACCGGGACTCGCAGCACCCTCCGCGCCTCTCTAGCAATGAAGAGGCGGGCCAAGAAGGCCAAATCCAAAAGAGGCCAAAGAAGAAATCCACAGCCGAGGCCCAAAGCAAACGAGCTCCAGTGGATGGAGGAAGGCTCGGGAGGAAGAAATGACAAGTCGAAGGAAGGAGGGAGAAAGACCTCGGGCTCCGGGGGCACAACAATGGACCCTGAACCCGAAATAAAATCCCTCGCAATCGTCAACAAAAGCCCCGCAAGACCTCCCGAAGCACCCCCAGCAACTAAGGGCAGGGGCCTCATCCAAAGTTCGAGAAAAGCTGCAGTACACGAGTGAACATGTTGTTCAGCTATAATTGCCAGATCTTCTCAGGGCCTCAAGTTGAGGATACATTCAGCTGAGAATAATATAGATAGATAGGTCTGTATTTTATGTACTGAAGTATATACACATATATACCGTCGGTTCTATCGCCAGAATAGTGAAGTCGCTTTCTAGCTGACATTTATTTCATAATATGGAACAGATAGCTATACTCACCCCTAGGGCTTGTCGAATCTGAGGTGTTGGGTCGGAGGCCTCTACCGTAAACTGACCCCACATCGCCGAGAAGAAATGATGGATCGCCGTGGTGAACTGAATATGGGGCCCACTCATGTCCGAGATGCAGACGGCAAGGTGACGGGAACTCCGTATCTCCGGACATCGCAGAGCCTCGATCGGCAGATGTAGTTAACTTACCAGTGGCAGAGGCTGTTGATTTTCAAACGGTGGTATTGAGACTGGCTAGGCACTATCCTCCCGAGCTGGGTGACCAAATTGCAGAGCTCGTGGTAGAGTTCCCGAATACGACGTCCCCTCCTATGACAAGCTGGGCAACCATTCCTGATGATGCAACTACAGGGCCCCATGACATGATGTAAGTTCGCTCGTGTAAAGCATATATGTATATATATACATACATGTGTATATACATATATGTTTATATATATATATATACATAGGAGCTGCTAGACATGTACAGACTGAGGTTTGAGCTGTTCTATGGCGAGCATGGAAGTCTAGAGCTCGGTGATACCTGGGACGATGCTGCTTGGTGCAACATATCTTGCAGTTAATTCCAACATCACATGTATGGTGCACTGAAAGCTTAGGCTGATTTGTGGGATGTTCTGGTATATCTGGGGAAATCCCGGAATTTGGTTCCACCAGGAAAGGGATGGAGGACCAATGAGTCGAGCAAATCACACCTTAATGTCACGCAAACTTGCATGCGCAAGGACTCTGCTGGTGGACCTGGGAGTGCGAAAAGCTGGCTACGAAACGACGGCCTAGGGAAGCTCTGTGTCGGCCTCGACCCATATATATATTCGGAGTAGTTCCTTACCCATACGAGACAGAACCCTTGTCCATCCCTGCCCAAGTCCAACCCCTGCTTCAAACATAAATTCAAGTAGCTAGACATCAAATCCCTGGCATCCAACCCCTAGGCCTGTATGCTAGATAAAGACAGATCGATAAGCTGAGCTAGCTGTTTCAACGTAGGTCGAGAAACGATGCAATAGCCTGGAGGTTTTTGAACAGCCGGAGTTTGTGGCTTCGGGGCCAGCTAAGCAGATACTCCAGATCAGGTCTGTACTTCGGGACACAACTTCTGACTAAATATGTGCTTGGGCCATGGGCCTAATTTAGGAGCACCCAGCGGCAAATTATTTACTCGATCCCAATATTACAGGCCGTATATACATATATATATATATGTACATATATATATATATATATATATATATATATACACACACCTTTCCAGGCCCGACCTCACTTGATATGTAGTCTTAAAGTGCACACCGCCCCGAATTAAGAAAATAAGCAGTACTCAGCAAAGCTTAATGTCATCTTCAATCCACATAGGTCTTGAATGTACAGAAGCCCAACACCCAGTATCGAATCATAAACCATTTCTGATTTATGTACGATTAAATATATGTATAGGAAGCCTATTTCATCCTGGCCCGAAGCTGCAAGCCCTTCGGACCCTAGATTGGCAATGCCTGCTTCGAAGATAGCGAGGATGTAAAGCAGACCTGGCAAAACAGTCGCTTGCCCGGTTTCGGTTATCAGCAAATCACCTCGAAGTGGAAAGCGAGCGCCCTCACTTTAGGGTTTAGGGGCTTAGGTGAGCAGTTGGTTATTGCTGACCCCAACAATTAGCCTGCGTCCCTATGACCCCTGAGTCCTGTAGATCGTGGTCCTGAGTCTTGAAGCCCAGACCCTATAATGTCTAGATTTTGTTATGCTACGGAAACAAAGTGACTCGTATTCCAGGGCTAGGTGGTGGGTGATACCGGAGCACATTTTTCGATTCCTCGAGCAGATCATGCACATATATATATATATATGTGTCTCAGTTCATGACCACCATCAGCCAGAACTGCTCAAGCTTCTTGGATTTGTAAGCCAACGAACCGGAAGGGTAAATGTTCTTGTCAAAGTTGTCTTCAATCAGGTACATCCGGTACTGCAAGTAATCATAGAAGCACTCCTCCCTGAGCTATGAGCTAGTGGCTAGAGCTCGATCGAAGTGCATTTCTCGACAGCATATATATTAAAGCCAAGGTGCTCCCATTGATCTATAAAGCTTCTCTCCCACATCGAAAAGAGCTTCCGAATCAGCTGGTTGCTGGCTCCTCCAGCTTTCAACTTGATCTTCATCTCATCTGCATCCATTGCAAGATAGCGAAGCCGATTTAAGCCAAAACTTTTCGATGCTGCAGGCAGGGGTATAATTATTCGATAGGTTTGTCGAACCCCAGAGCCCCCGATAAGCGAAGTCTATAATTACACCTCGGCAATCACTGGCCCAGTGCTGCGAGAGCTCTCTCAGCTTTGTTGATCCGACATCAGAACCCCAGAGCCTAAACCTTGAGCCCTAAAAGACTCTAACTGCCTATATGTATAGCATCCCGGTATACAGGGCTTACGTATCGGATTAGCATACACCCTCAATACAGGCATAAATGCTATAGTTCTCCTTGAGGATGTAGTGGCCGGTGTATGCTTATAATGTACCAGCTTGGGTCTTCTCTTAGCCAATAGGATGTAGAATTTGTATGTACTATATAAGGTGTACGCGCTAGGGGTCTCTTATATATTTAGTCTAGGATGTACGGTTTTGTATGCTTGTGTACGGGCTTGGGGTTTGATTTTAGTCTAGGATGTATGGTTTTGTACGCTTTTGTACGGGCTCGGGTTGTTTAATTAGTGTAGGATGTACGGTTTTGTACGCTTGTGTACGGGCTTTGGTTTTCTATTTTGGTCTAGGATGTACGGTTTTGTACGCTTGTGTACGGGCTTGGGGTTTGTACTTTAGTCTAGGATGTACGGTTGTGTACGCTTTTGTACGGGCTTGGTGTGGGTGTACAAATTTGTACGGTTGTGTATGGGCTTGGGTTCTCTGTCCTAGGTTCCGCATGCATAAGTTCGGCTTTTTCACTAGCTCTTGGTATTTCGTATGCGATCGCAGCATCAAGTGAAGCCTGCTTTCCCTGAAGAACCCATGCCTGTGGCTTGCCTCTGGCCATTTGCTTCAGCGGATCCAATTCGATGCCAGTGGCCCTGACGTGTTGCACTGTATGATATCGACATAATAGCTTTTCCATCCAAACAGACACAAGCGTACAAAACCGTACGTATTCGTACATCGTAGTCATATATGAAAGAACCGTACGCGTACAAAAGCGTACAAAATCGTACATCGCTTATGATCGACAGTTCGTTGCTCAAACTGACTTTGGGCACCTTACCTGGCTGGCCAGTACGTGGTAGTTTAGACTTGCCAATGGCTGATTCACAAGTGTTCTTGCCTTGGCATGACGACCTGAAGCATACCTTTATTCTATAGTGTATGCTTCATTCCTAAGGTCGAATGAGACACTGCTTCGTGGGCTGTCCTTCATGGACAAGTCTTACGAAGCCCAGGCCAGGTTCTGCCAAGGTATGGATCTAGGATCGTTCCGCCAGCTGTTGCAGGCAGATCTTCGTGCTGCTAAGCAAGAGATTGAGGAAGCAGTTTCTAAGCTGCAACAAGACTTTTGTTGGGGCCCCATTTATCAAGTCCTACTGGCAGGCTGCAACGGCAGAAGGAACGAGAACTGCATATGCTACGAGTGTAGCTGTGACTTGTCTGAATGGATTGTAGCTCTCTCGTCGGGAATACAGCTGCTGACTATGCTGCATTTGCACGCTGTATTCTGATGAAACTGATTAAGTTAACCTATCTCAGGATTCAGAAGCTACGCTACCTTGGGATGGAGCGCCAGCTGCAATGCAAGGAGACACACAGCGGGATGATGCAATGGACGACTTCTTGAACAAGGAGCTCGAAAGGCTTATCGAGGAAGAGGCGGCACTTCAGTCTGTTGCTTTTTTTAATGGTTGGGACCACTAAGCTACTAGACACTTTTAATTGACCCTTTCGCAGCAAATACCCTGAAGCCTAGTATTGCCTTAGAGGGGATTGATTAATCGATCGTCACATATATAAGAAGTGCAAACCTTCCTTGAAGAGCAAGTCTTGTATCCTGATCCTGCAACCCCAGACAGACTCTAAACCCTCAAAGTTGGCATTTGAAACCAATTAGCGCGCCTTGTCAGGAAGCCCGTGAGAAGCAGGCTGCAGCACCTGAGAGTGCTGAAGGGCAAAAGCTTGAGAGTGAAAATGAGCGAATTCAGAGGGAATACGAGGAAAGTATGGTACGTGTCGCTATGGATGCTAAGAAACGAGCAGAAGATGAAGCAGCAGCAAAGAAAGCGAAGCAAGAGGAAGATGAACGCGTGATCAAGGAACTCCAAGCAGAGCTTGAGCGAAAGCTTTTCGAAGAAGGTCAAAAGAAAAGACAGGAGCAGGAAGCAGAAGCGGCAAAGAAAAGGCAGGATCAGGAAGCAGAAGCGGCAAAGAAAAGGCAGGAGCAGGAAGCAGAAGCGGCAAAGCAGGCAGCAGAGAAGCAACGACAGGAGCAGGAAGCAGAAGTGAAAAGGCGGGCAGCAGAGAAGCAACGGCAGGAGCTGGAAGCAGAAGTGCAAAGGCTGGCAGCAGAGAAGCAAAGACAGGAGCAGGAAGCAGAAGTGAAAAGGCAGGCAGCAGAGAAGCAACGGCAGGAGCAGGAAGCAGAAGCAGTAGCGAAAAGGCTGGCAGCAGAGAAGCAGCAGCAGGAGCAGGAAGCAGAAGCAGTAGCGAAAAGGCAGGCAGCAGAGAAGCAGCGGCAGGAGCAGGAAGCAGAAGCGAAAAGGCAGGACGCAGAGAAGCGGCAGGAGAGCCAGAAGCGAGAAGCAGTGCCAGAGGAGAGTGAGGAGATCCGTCGTCTGCGGCAGCGGATTACGGACCTTCAGGCCACAGGAAGCATGCCGTCGTCGTTCACCGCCTTCAAGATGGCATTCACTGAAAGCCCGCAGAAGTCGTCCGTTGGTCGCGACTTAAGCCCTTTGTCGCTAGAGCTGAAGAAGGCGAAGGAGGAGGAGGACTTCTTGAAGAAGGAAGTTAAAAGAGCCCAGCTGCAGCAGGTGCGCGCTCGAACCGAGGCGTTGAGGGCAAGACTTTCGGAGAGTGATCCAGATGGGGCGGTGAAAACTCCGGAGCCCAAAGTGCCTGCAAGCGTCAGCCCGCCGCCCAAAACACCAGCACCGGCAAGCAGCCCTGGCCCTTCGAGCACGCCACCACTGCCCAAGTCCCTTCCAGCAGTCGCTGTCACCCCACCGGCCCAGCTCAACAGGAGCAGCCCTCTAGAAGCAAGCAGCCAAGGGAGCAGTGAAGCTGGAGAGAAAGGTGACGAAGCAGCTACGCATGCATATACATCGATTTTTGTAATATGTTTTTTCGTTTTAATAACCCATAAACCCTATTTACAAGCCTGTTTCGTATCTCAGGACAAGAAAAAGGCGGCAGCGGCGGCATTGCAGACTGTGCGCCGTCTAACGACAAATCCACACAAATGCACCTTGGAGATTCTCGAGCAGTGGCGAAATGGTGGTGAAAGCCGCAAGAACATTGTGCAGCTGTTCTTCCAGAACGGATGCGATGTTACCAAGACCACCGTCAGCTTCATCCTGAAAGACATCATGATGGAGCCTATTTCTAAGTTGCCTCGATTGTTCATGCAGTTTGCCAATTCAGGGTCCCTAAGTCATTCGGTGATTCTATAGAACTAAGGCAAGAGAAGAAGAAGAAGGAGGCATTGACTGAAGAGCAGGTTTATGCCCACTACGCCCCGAATCAAGAGAAAGCGAAGATGGCGATCCACTTTGCTGTGCAGGAAGGCCGCAGGTATCTCAGTGTATTGCTGTCTGAAAGCTCCTATTCGATGTTGAGACTACAGCAGAATTTAATTCCATCCTAAGGTTTCAGAGATGATCCGAACTTCCGCGTGGGATCTGGGCACAAGCTCTTCAACATCTTTACTGAGATGTCTGAGACGGAGCTTTTTGAGAAGCGCCGAGAGATCGAGGCGAATGTCCGCTCGCTGGCTCAGGATCAACGACCACTTGCGAGACAGCTCTTTCAAGAGATGCACCCTAGCTGCAAAGCAGATATTCGAGAAATAATGTGTTTCGATCTTTGCCACTCTAAGCAACTTGTACCCCCAAGAATCAAAATGTAAACACGCCATAACCCAACTCCCTGCAAACCCCTAAACCCCTATATAAACCTTAAGCCCTGAAACTTGCATCCTTGGTGATTGCATACTATCCACAATATGATGATCGTATCAGGTTGCATTCCGCTGCAACCTAATGAATACTAGAACCCTTAAACCAAATGCCGAACTCTTAACCACCACCCTAAACCCTTAAACCGAAATGCCGAATGTGAAACCTTGTACCCCAAATCCTGATTACACTTGGGGCGGCCACTGATCCAGGTCTTCATCGCTGCCCGCTCCGGAGCCTTCGGCAAAAGCGGCTCCGGAGAATGCTGCTGGAGGCTGGCTATCATACTGCTCTTAAACCCCAAAGCCCCAAACCTTAAACCCGACAGCCCTGCAGGCCCCACTCCGGAACCGAAGGCTCTTGGGAAGGCGGCAGCTGCGAAGGGTGGGGCCAAGGCGAAAGCAAAAGCAAAGGGGCCACCGGCCATGAAGCCCGGGATTTTTGAGCTTGCAAAGTGCCGGGCATCCGATCTACGTGAGGCCCTCCCACGGTTCAACCGCCAGGATACGAAAAAATCGATGGAGAAGGAGATCCTGGGTAAGGTGCCAATCTTTTGGGGTACGAGAACGATTTTAATTTGAATTAGGGTATTGGGACTTTATGTAGGGAAATGATTATGATAAGTGTAAGGTGTTTTGTCATGTGGGATGGCTGGAACTTTAAAGCCCTAGTAATAATCGTACGATATTGGATGAACTTCTCCCTGAGAGGTTGGTGCCTGTGCTCGGCTCCAGCTCCAGCTGCAGGGCCTGGATGAAGCCGAGATGGTGTTGGCTTCGCTTAAGACAGTGAAGGATGCCCTGGAATCGAAGTACAAGGTGCTTGATCTGGATCGTTATAATGAAGTTCTCCACAAAACTGTTGCAGGATCTGAAGATGCTGGATGATACAGTCGATGAAGCCGAATGGCAGGAAAAAGTCAAGGCCATGCAAGCTTCAAACCCTTTGCCTTGCTCACTATCTCTCTCTCTCTCTCGCTCTCTGTCCCTCTCCCTCTCCCTTTAAACCCCTAACCCTAAACACCAAACTGTCACAGGACGTGGCAAAGGCTTATCTGCTGTTTGTCTCCAAGGAGGACAGATCGACACACGACACAACAGGATACATGTGTTGCTGGGAACTGTGTGCCTAAGCTTGGGCTTGAACGATGCTACGGGAATTCCGCGACGAGCATAAGAATCCTCAACCATTATCCCTTAAACCTTAACCCGTATCCCTAATCCTAAGCCTGAGTCAGGGACTATGGTGAGTGAAGCATATATAGTACACTAATGAAACCACAAATCCTGTTTTATCCAACTATTGGCAGGACTTCGCAGTGGGTGTGGCGAGGGTGCACGCCCTTAAGGACAAGCGCAGCTGATGCATCTGATTCTGAGAAAAGCCAAAGCTTATGGGATCAAAGTACATCATGTACCTTTAAGTAGTGGCCATGTGCTGGCTAAAGTGTATGCTAGCTGTGCTTTCCAGGTTTCTATGGTTCCATAGGCTAGTGGCTGATCGTGGCAGCTGGGTAAGCGGCACTTGCTGTTCTCGAGGTGCTATGATGTAGTAAGCAGTCACATGTCTGTGGCAGCAAGCGCCCACCAGTGCAATTTGCACTTTTCTGGTATTGGCTGCAAGAGCTGGGGACAAGCAAGGGTTTATTCAGCTACAAGGGTTTTCAGGAACCGATGTTTTTGTTGCATGGCCAGTCCGTGAGTATCACGAGCATTGCCATCTTTAACAGCTAGCTGTTGTTAGAAGCTTTAGACTATCTACGACTCCAGTGATCTTGTATATTGAAAACTACATATGCAATACTCTGCAGGGCACTCGTGTTGGTACAGGGCCTTTCGTTTTTTGCTATGCTGGCTTGCTGGGTCCAGGCATTAGCTGCTGGCGGAGATGTCATATAGAAGGCTGTATCAGGCATACTAGGTTAGCCTTTTGAAATTTGCCAGCTCAGCTGACTCAGCTTGTCTGCTTTTCAATGAGTCGCTCTAGCTCTGGGTAGAGGCACGATCAGGCTGTAGTGATTGGCAGTATTGATGGCATGTAATTACACAATAGCTGCAAGCCTGTCGTTGCCCACCAGGTGCGCGATGCAACTCCCTCAACCCGACTCCTGTTGGATGCAGAAAAAAACAAGTATTAAGGATCACCCATATAATTCCTCTCAGGTCTTTTGTGTTGCTCACGCTGCCTCCTTCGCTCACTGTCCCTTGCATTTCTGCATTTCTGTTTGTTTTCCCTCTCTTTTGCTCGTTGCTTAGCTTACTGTGAATGCTCCCACGCAGGCCTTCGTCCGGAAGCCAAGGCGAAGAATCAGCCGAGGAGCGAAAACCTGGTTTCAAGAGTACGTGTTGCCTCTGTGTCTTTTCAGGGTGCCGTCATAACCAGCCCTATCGCAGGAAGCGAGATTCGCCGAAGCTTCGGCAATTGAAACAACGACTGGCTGCCAAACTGGCTACGAAATCTAGTGCTGCTGGAGAACCGCAAGATCTACATGTGCCTGGGCAGTTTGGGCTTCCTTACCGGTTGCAGAGTCTGGCTGATGCATCTTTAGCCCGCACGGCTGTTGGATCCTTAAAAAAGAAGAATGCTGATTGCAATTATATTGCTGAACTCTGCAATGCTGCTGAAGAAGAAAGTGGAAACCAGATGAGCTGGGTGACGACGACACTTGGTGGCCGCAAGACAGAGAAACGCTTTCACCAATTCTTCTCGAGATCTATTCCGAAGGTGTCAACCGTCATGCTACCTTTGGTGACTTCAAAAAGGAAGAAGACAGTGGAAGTGAAGCCATGCAGAATCTTCGCCGAGCTCCAGAATGTGTTTATTTAAACCCTGAAACCAGGAGCCCCTACTGATCTCAGACTCGGGATCAATCCAAGGCATCGTGCTTCCAAGCTCTTATATGTCATGGTTGCAGAAGCGGCCCTGGATCTTGAAAGCCATCTGCTTTGGCAACTCTACACAGGAAGAGCGCCAACTGTTACTTGAATTTGCAATCTTAGAAATAGGTTAAATAGGTTTCCAGGGGCGGCAAGCTAGTGCAACCAACCAGCTCAGGCTGAGCTCTACTCTGCAAGGTGCTGGCATTGGCTACACAGGAGGCTTATTCTTGAAACCCCAAACCCCCAAAACCCTAAAATCCTAAGCCATATGGTATCGATTTTTTGTGAAACCCAAAACCACACAAATCCACCCAAACCCTAATCTCCTAAACCATAGCTTATTCGTTTCTGTGCGCAGGGCCTTCTGATCTGCCAGCGCGATTCCATGGAGATGAGGGCCCTGGGCAGAAGTACAAGAATGTGTTGGTTATCAATATGTCGTTTCCATTCTCCCATTCTGGTGAATCTTGTCTGCAACTTAACTACTAGTGGATGTGACATGGCTTAGCTGCTCTTCAGTGTGTTAATGCCAATTTGTAAACAACTGAGGACACACTGAAGACACGTCTTTGCATCGCATGCTTAACAGGACAAACTGTCCTCACGAGGGCGATGCAAAAGAATCGGATCGGTGTCCACCATGAGTGTACTTTGGATGTGCTGTTTAGACACATCAATGCAGACTTGGAGAAATTGCCCCCAGGCTTCAATAGACTCCTGTATGTTGCATGCATGAGTCTTCACCTAGCATCTACAGATGTTTCCCAGGACATTTGATTCTGGTGGAGTTTGCGGCCGAAGGCTTTGCTTCTTTGGTCTGGCGGGCGATCAAAAATGGTTTCAGCAAATGCTGCAATTGCCAGCTCCCTACATCAGCTTGCTTGAGTTTCTTCCATTGACAACCCAATGTCAGCTTGCTAAGTCCGCGACATTGGAAGGGCAACGGCGAGGCCAATGGCAACAGGAGCCCATACTAGTTGTGCGCATGTTTTCGAAAACTTGATCTTCATGTGTGACTCTGCCTTCTGCCATGAGCTTGTCTGCAGGATGTGTATGCAATGCCAGTGACATGGCAAGACGTATCAGCTGAGCCAGTCGTCAGTCTAGCTGCCCCAATTCTGAGCTCCATCCGAGGTTTGCCTCCACTGTCGATCCAGTAGATGGACAAACCTTTCTATCCCCTGGGTCTGGACATTACATGAACTGCTTTGGAGATTCGCCCTGGGAGCTTTGTGGATTGGAAAGCAAAGATGAGTCTAGCCTTATGAAGTACAAGTTTGTATGTATCGACATTCGGAATTTCTCGGATGGGGTGCTTATAACTTAGGTTTACAGTTTAGGGTTCAAGGCCTTTAAAGAAATCCTTTGATCCATGTAGCTAGCAAGCCCAGCCGAGGACTTCTTGCAGGAACTGCTGAAAGCCCATGGGGGTTCCTTACCCGAGATCTGCAACATCACCGGCTTTCACAACAAGCTCATCCACTATGATACGCTTCATGTGTGCTACAGGGGCTTCGCCCCGGACCTGGTAGCATCGGTGATGCTTGATATCTTCCCCGATCGGGGGGGCTTGATCAAGGCTCATGACCTGTGTTGTCTGTGGGCGAAAGCTAATGGTGCTGAACTCGCTTGCGACGACTTCATATTGAATGCTGATGAGAAATATGCCACACTTAATGCCAAGGGTGCTGACATTAAGCTTGTTTGCTTATGGCTTGCCCTTGGGATCTGAAGAAGTGGAGCATCAGGTTTCGTACATTTTGTTTTGGTTAGAAATTTAATTTAACCCTACAGTCTCATCATAGATATTTGCAACCCGACTGACTCTACTAGCGAAGGCTGAAGTCGTTCCAGTGGCAGTGTCAAGCTGGGCCGACACTGACAAAGCTCGGGTCCTGAAGATGATGCCTGACTCTAGCTTTCGAGGGCCAATTAAGCCAAGATAAAACACTCAGCCGCTCTTGTGCCCTGAATTCACAAGTTTAAGACCTGCCTAATTCCCGATCCTAGGACGATGAGAGCTTTGGCCAAAATGATCCTGCTGATGGAGGAGCACCTGTATGTCATGCCATTAGCTGCAGTGGACAAGGCGAAAAAGCTGGCTCGGCGGTTTCTTCTGGGATATCTGTGGCTGAGCCATGATGCTTTTTCGGCAAGCAACAGCCGCTACAAGATTCGCCCGAAGACACTTTGCGGCACGATTGTGACTTTCTGATTCACTTGTGGCTTTCTGATTCACTTGTGGCTACATTTTTTGGTAGCTTCCATTGTGCTTGTGTATCCAGGCTTCATACCTGGTGGCACATGTTTGCCAATCTGGCCGAGCTTCCGCTGAACCCGCGCCTGAATTCCTGTTTTGGGGACGAAGACTATGTGAGGAGACTGTGCTCCATAGACTCTTGGCTGTACCTATGTGCATTTCCATCCTAGCTTGTGGCTGCATCACGAGCACCATGAACATCAGCATGTCCGTCTGTGTGTAAATACTTTTATTTATGTATGTATAACATGCGTCAAAGAATCCTGTGAGCAATCGATGAGATCCTAGGCATCTGGGTGTCATGCGGCTACAGTGCATCGACAGGCTATTAAGAGATACCTGACAGCTGCAATTCCGCACTGGTTCTCGAGCTTTGACAGATCCGAGTGATGGAAAATCGTGTTGGGGGAAAGGAAAGGGTCTAGGGTTTTAGGCTTTGAGGGCCTGGGAACCAAAGGTGGAATTCTTTCTCTGAGCGATCTGGGAATTTTAGAGCATTAATCCTGAGATCACAAGGCTCCGATTCAAGCCTGCTAAATCCCAGACCAAAGGATCGAAACAGATTGCCCTGCCCTGAACCCTGAGGCCTAAACTCTTAATCCCAAGCCGTGCAAGAACCCAACGCCCGAAGTGTACCCCAAGCCCGGCACCATTCTCATCGGAAACCCTGAACCCTGAACCCGCCTTAAACCCTGAGCCCTAAGCCCCGAACCGAAACGCGCGCCAAAGCCCAAGCTGTTAAATCGTGAACAGACCCGTCTAACACCAGACTCTCAAGGCCTGAACCCACAAAAACCTGCAGCTTCAAAGGCGTAACCCATGTCCCAACCATATAATCCAGGCCCTAAGCCCCGAACCTTAAGATATGGCTCAAGCTGGTTCAAGAATCCCGGATCCGGGATGATGTCGTGACAAACCCAAGACCTCTGTCTCACTAACTTCTGTGTCAAGAAGCGTCCAAAAGACGACAACTGTCAAAGGATCTATTGCAGATCAGGCAGATTGCAAATCCATAGGCTGAAGCGAATTCCCAAAGCGACTTGGCCAGCCCTGTCGTCGTAATCCACAAGCTTTATTTCAGGAGTTGTCACGAGCACCTATGCAAGAACATATGAACTCTTGTTTTTTCCATATGGAAATCTAAAAATGCCTACCTACCTTCTCCCGGTGGTTTTGTGAAAATGTGCTTTTCTCTAAAACGATACCCATTCACCTTTTTTATTTGAGTTAAAGGCTCCTCCGGGATTGTTCCCCACACAAACCTCACGCCCGAAACAATGCAGATCATGCCGCGTCGAGCCAAATCGCCTGCCGATGCGATGACCCGTGACCGACTTTGCGTAGGTTGTTCGGAGTTGGACACAGGCGTTGGCGGAAAAATGCAAAATTTTCCGTCATACGAGCCGGTTCGGGAAGAGCTTGTACCGTATACATTCGTAGCTTGTGAATTCTGGTGCGCCTCGCCACCTTCGTACTTGAAGACACGCGTGTTGCCCAAGCTAGCATAAAAGCACTATAAAAGCCCGCAAGCGTCTCGACCGCTCCCGCCACGTCGCGCCACCAGATCATCCAGATCCAGAGCAGCACGCGCTCAGGCTGGGCTGGCAGGACGACGTAGACGTCGTCGAGGTCGCCTTGCCGCAGTTGCGAATCTGCCAGGCGCAACGCTTCATGCTGGCCGAAGACCCTATAGACCCTTCGGCTTGGCGAATGCCGTGGCGGACGCCGTCATCGTCCCACCGTTGGTACAACAAAAAAAAATTATACTGACGTTTAGCCGTGGAACACGCGCGCGAACGGCATGAGTGCGTGCCACCTCTCACGCAGACATGCCGCCCAGGAAATACAGTCGTAAGCGCTACGCCCATCAAGGGAGACGACAATGTGATTCGAGCATTGCTTTTTCAGGGTTGCGCGAAATCGAACCGACAGAGCATCAACTCCCGCTCGGGTGCGCAGCGCGAACGACCAAGGCCTGGTATGGCTTGGTCCAAGAAAAGCGCCCACGCAGCGGCGAGAGTGCACGCGACGAGCCCACGAAACACTTCGCCCGTCGCGATGCCTCGCTCCGCAACTTTACGCGGGGCCTGTGCCGGCTGATTAGCAGTTTCAGTAAACCACCAGCGGTCCCAGTGCAAGCGGACCAAAACCAAGGCGACACCCTACGGTGGCAGTTAATGGGGGTGGTTCGGCAAAGTCCACGAGGATATCGCTCAGGAGGGCAGCCTTCCCATCGACGTTGGCAGTGGCAACAAGTAACAAGCGCATGGCAAACAGAGAAGGCTGGCGCCGGCTCACCAGGCACACTGCCTCGCTGCCGCCAGACGTCATGCAAATCGCTTTGTTCCCTCTTCGCGGACTCCTCCGAAAACCTTGGAACGACCACGCCTTGGCCTGCACGCGCAGTGGCTTTTGGCACGATGATCGAAGCTGGTCGAGCGAGCCTGGCTCGCGATGTGTCGCGGAGCGGAGGGACAACCAACTGGCCCCAACCGCCTCCCATTGGGCGCGCATTACCATTACCGCACGACTCCTGCGCAACCGACTGCTCCCAAACAACGAAAGAGCGCGGTCAATACGTGCAGCACAAGCTTAACACAAAAATCGTTTGTCACCTCGTTTGCGTGCTCGGATATAATTGAATGTCGAGACGATATTGGAATGTTCGCACAACAATGCACAACATACAAATTGTGTTTGCACAGCCGATCCGCACAAATCGAGAAGTGTACTAAGGCAATTGTCAGGACCAGTGAAGCATGGCCCCTGACGCAAGGATGACACGCTTGCCAAGACCATTGAAGCATGGCCCCTGCGCAAGGACGACACGCCACGTTGTGGCTCAAGCATGGTGCACAAATCGAGAAGTGTACCGAGGTCTCGGCAAGGGTTTTTGAACTTCGGAGTTTGGGGTTTGGAGTGGGGTTGTGAGGGTATAATCCGGTATCCTCTTTCCCTCTTTGTCCCTAACCCTTTCAGGGTTGTTTGGAGCTTGATTTGAAGGTGGTGAGCTGTGTAGTGTTGATGGTGACATGCATTACAGTTCGCTAGATGATGTGCCACATAGCGTAAGGATGAATCTGCAGCAACAACAACATCAGCAGCATCAGCTTATGTCACCGGCATTCAGCATCGTCACAGACAGCAGCCCTCAACAAACACAGGTGATGAGCCCAAACGCTCCACCGCAATCCCTTTCTGCAGCGAGTGCTTCAGTGGCACCACAGCTTCAGCACTTCGACGAGCCGTCATCAGAAAATGTGGTACGTTTGAGGATGCAGCAGATGTTGCAGATTCAGGCGCCAGCCGAAGTTCTGAGATTGCTTCAATCATCAGCGGCAGTAGTGGCAGACGCTAAGACCATCAAGGACGTGCAGAGCAGTGTTCGTTTGGTGGCTCAGGAGCTTGAGGCAAGAACAGAACGATTGGCATCGTGCTTGTCGGGAATTACCGGGGACCTAGATGGGGTGAAACATCAATCAGAGAGACTGCTCACTGCTGCAAGTGATCATCATGTTGCCTTGAACAACGCCAATGACAAGTTCAAGCAGCTTGAAGAACAGATCCAGCAGATAGAAAGTGCAGTCACCCAATTGTCGAGGCGTCAGGTCACCTTTGAGTCTACGATGGAGACTCGGTTGGGTGCCCTTGAGAATCAGATTATACAGTTGAGAGCTCAGGCTACATCAGCGGACGCGCTGAAAGATGAAGTGGTTTCGATGAAAGCTACATTGTCAAGGCTTGAGCATCAGCAACCCGAGATACAACAAAGCGCGCAGACCAAGAGTGAAGAGAGTGAGACCCGCATCCAGCGCAGAATTGATGAGATGGATGTGTTGTTGAATCATTTCTTCGAACGTGTGGATGGAAATGAGAAACTCTGTGAGAAGCTTAGACAGCGGTCGGAGGATCTCACCAGCCGCTTTGAAACCTTGCAAACTCACGTTGATGCGGGGTTTAGTTCGGAATCCAGAGCTTTACCACGTCGTCCTCAACTTCAGATGCCCCAGCAGATTGCAGAAGAGGTGTCCGATGAAAGGTTTGAGGAGGAGGCGAAGGCTCAGGAGATCATTGAAACACCAAAGCATCGCACAACGTCAGGTGTCCAGATGTTCCAGATGACTCCCCAGCGTGACGGAGCCGATGATTCATGGCAGAAGGATGCTGTTGATGAGTGGCTGGAACAGGTAGAGGAACCTCAGGTTGTGCAATCTGTTCCTGCGGAGCCTCCAGGTCTAGGAAGTTCTGGTGCAAAGATTCCGGCGGGACAATGGAAATTGATCAAAGATTTTCCCAAACTCACGATTCCTCACGGAGAACCGTGGGAAAAGGGAATGGTGTTTAGACAGTGGTGTACAGAAGCCGCATCATTGGCAGAGGCGATATCCCCATTGTATCCCATTGTTTGCGCAATTCTTCCGAAAGCGAGTGCAGGAGGGACAGACCAATTATGAGAAGCGTTTGAGGGATGG